ATTTTTTTAGTATATTACTTGTGTGGTGTAGAAGAGAATTATCTATGTAGAGATATGCTTGCAAACCAATGATGGTAAGATGATGTCATGGGGTAGGACTGGATAAGTCTGACTTCTTCCTACTCCATTCAAACATGTACTAGGTATAAGCAAATTGATATTGGATTAGCATTTGTTGGATATGTGTAAAATTATGTGTGTTGACATATCAACTGTCTTTACATGCTTGAAAGAATAAATAAATCAAATCAAATCAAATCAGTTCATGTCACTGCAACATTTATGTGTATATGATGTTCGTTATGCTCTCAGTTAGAATATGATTCCCTAATCCTCTTCTGCATAAACCCCCAGTACCCCAGCTTCTTAAAAATATAAGCCCCATGCAATGAGACAGGTATTTACAGTTAAAGCAGCATGTGAGTTCTGTCCTCCCCCCGCTGCTGCCAAGGTCATGACAGAAGTTAAAATTGCCCTTGAGAACTATGGGAAATTAGGCATGGTTGCAGGTGGCAGCTGTTTGGAGTGTGTCCACACCTTTGGCGGCCCACAGGTGATACGTAGGCACAAGAAGTGTTAGGTGCTAATTCACAGGCCCATATGGGTGTGAGTGGGAGGCAAGGGAGACATGGAGACTCTTAGGGCTTGTGTAAGGTCTCAGAGATGTGGTTCCTTTGTGAAACCCTGAGGATTCTCCCTCTGCTGCTGTTTTTCCATTTCCTTTACAGCAAACCTAAAGGTTCTTTAGCGCTTTTTGAAAGTATAGGAGAGTTAGTAGAGTCTTACACATTCTACACACATGCTCCTTCCTCAGTTGTCTTTCGCATGCTGTGCAGAAAATATAACCATTGCAAAACAAACAAAAAAAAAGTCAAAGAAACACACAGAGCTAGTCTTTGCACACGGGGTTGCTGAAGGTCAGAGGTAACAGTGTGGTTGGAGAAACACAAGTCACATTATTACATCTACACAGAAACAGGGACAAACACACGAGCAGACAGGAATCAAACAGAACCTACCGACAGCTTGCCATCATCCTCTGGTGCCCCAGCATTCGTCTTCTCATCCAACACAAAGAGAAGGAAAAGTAAAAAGGGGAGAGGGAGAGAAAACAGGACATAGATGTGAAGCATGCCGCACGCAAGCACGCAGACAAAATGAAAAAACAATAGAGAGAGACATTACAGCACAGTTACAGTGACTGTGATGACTGACTGCGGTTTAAGTGGAAAAGACTTGAGGCACAGATTCCTGCCTACTGTCTCAGTCACAAGCAGCGCAAGATTAGACTGTGTCTAAACTCCTTTTCCTGGAATTCTTTCTAAAATGTCATTTCAGTTTTACTCATATCAGTCAAAGATGTCAGCTGGCATCACAATGTCTGGCACATCTCTGTAGAAGTAGGGCAGATTAATGGTGAAGAGAGACAGCAGAAACCAGACAAACACACTCAGAGGCTTTGCCATGCGGGGCCAGCACTGCTAGCTTTAAAGTGAAAACTTTCCCTCTGAGATGAGAGCGGCTGCCAGATCCTGCCACAGTCACTCCAGTCCTTTATAATCACTCAATTCTCTGCCTTCGTTCTCAGCAGGCATTTCTGGCGTGTGCAGTACTCGGACTATTTTTGAAACAAAAGCCTTTGATCAGCCGCCTGACTGCGTTGCCCTCGCTTCATCTCCAAGAACGTGTTTGCGTGTTAAGTCACTCAGGGGCCTCTGTTTCCAACTACAAGGGAACAAACACAAAGCTTTTGTTCAGATCTTAGCATGGGTTGTGTTTCACAGCCTACACTTTTCAGACAGAAATATGTCGAATGTGAAGGCACCGTGATAAAGCACACGAGTCTGATCTTGTGTTAAAAACTATACCTTCACACTTGTCAACCTAGTGATTCATCTGCATTGTACTGAATGACGTGAAAGCTTCTGTGGGTGATTTTGTGCCTCTTTTTTGTTGATTACATAAAAATGATTAACTTTCCAAATGAAATCAAATTTATTTTCACTCAGAATGACGTTTTCATTGGAGCTGGTTTCATTTGCAGTCACTGTGATTGTCAGCACTCAGTTTGTCCCATCGCTTCTATTTAACAGCTCATAATTTACCATATATTGACTTTGCTACTGTATAGTAACAGAGTAATTACAGAAATGTGGGTGCGAAAAAAGTGAACAGAAGATGAGCTAATCCTTAAATTTTCCACAGAGCTATGCAACTATAACTTTTGTTATTCCTCATTTCATACATCTCCCTGTACACTGGAGGTATAATTATTCTATTTCACTCCCTATCACCCTCCTCAAAGTTGAGTCAGGAGGGTTAGGGGAGAAGAGGTGAGCACGCCAAATAGAGATTACACTGTGGGTCGCTCATTAAGCCAGCGTTAAATATTATGACTAATAATCTCACAGGGAGATTAGAATGTTCTCTGGAGCCTGTGTGTTCTCTCATACCAGCAGCTCTGCCTTCCAGGTCTTACATAGTGTCACATCAGGATCGTTCTTGGAAGCGGATCAGCTGAGAGAGATAAATGTCCTTCTGCAGCCGTACCCATGTACTGACATGAAGAGAGTGACATCATGCAAGAATGCTTCTGCTTTCACTTCTCTAATTGCCCACAGCTTAACGAGGGACAGTCACAGGAATCTGAGCACAGTGGTCAAAGTCCTGACGTTCAAACATGAGCAGCGAGTTATTAAGTCTTCTCGTGTGCAATCTGAGAGCACAGAAAGGGTCTGTTTCTGGAAGGATGATTTACATTTCCTTTTATACTTTTAAGCCAAATTACAGAAGAGAATAATACCTTCTTTTACCCTCTGCAGTTTGATGGTGAAGTTCGATTAAATCCATCATAGGCATGCTTGAGCCTTCAAATCTTTAATATCCCCTACATATATTATAAAACATGAAAACAGCAACCAGCAGTACATTTGATAAATCACTTTTCACATCACTTTCGCCTAGTTTCTTTTTCAGGGCTGCTTGGTTTTCTGAGAGTTCAAATCCAATTCCAAAACCTAAATGTGGATCAAATGGAAGCAGGGACCATCAATGAGGATACTCACACTTGGTCTGATTATGTTTCGACTGGTCCATTACCTTATTCTGAATGATGCTGTAGTACACCACTACAGCATGAAATTAAGGCTCCAAAACTCCACTTGCATCACTCAAGGGCTTGGGGATTATTACAAGTAGTGCACTGACAGAATCACCACGCAAACACAGGGAGAAAGTTCAACAAGGAAATTCCTGAAATACAAACTATCAAAGTGTCCTCATTTCAGCATCCAACCTGTTATCATCCTTTTCATAACCATGTGGAAATCAATGTAACACACACTTTGGGGTAAATAAGCCAGACTGCTATTTTTTGTTGTTCACAAATCAGCATTACAACAAAGGTGCCGACATACCGATTCAGGCTTTGAGGGCAAACACCAATCTAAAAAGCAGTTTTTAAAGATTTAAAATGTGCAAGTCAAGCAGTGAAATCAATTTCTAACGACAAACGGGCCCTTTACGATTCATTTTAATGGATGTCACAAGGATATGTGGAGAAGAATAAGGTGCACAAGCCAGGATTTGAGCCAGACAGACAGAGCCAAAGTTACATAACAGTAGATGTAGCATCTCTTGCATGATAAAGCCTTCGGTAGTAGACAGCATCTGTCAGCCTGTATGTAAAGATCTGTGAAAACCACACTGTTTAGCAAACGTGAAAAGCTGCAGGTGTTTGCCTCCACATGCTTAACGTTGGCAGCCTGTCGGTCAGGGCATGACACCCTTTGAGATTTGTCCATCTAGATCCAAAGTGGTAGAACTAAACTGTTGAACAGTGGGACTGCACAGTATCTCTCCCTGTCCCTCGCTTCCCAGTTTCCCTGAGACAATAATGATGATTTTTAAGGAGAGGAGGGAAAGGATGCACAAGTCAAGAAGCCATCTATTTGCTAATTAGTAACCCCTTTATTTCTCTAACAAGCAGAACTAATTACAGGAGGTGCTATGATGCTGATTTCCCACAAGGCAATGCTCACCAGGACTAGGTCCAAATCACTTTCCTATGAACCAATCAGAATAGGGAAGCAAAATGTGCTGTGTCATTTTTACAAGTGGATGTAATCACCCAAATCAGGCACAAGTGTGTTTTTGACATTTTCCTGGGTGAATGCATTGTACTGTAGTAAACTTAGTTTTCTTAGTGAATTTGAAATAACAATAATGTTCCATTTGCTGTTTATTCGCTCATTTGCCAGTTTGAATTTAGATTGTGCAATGTAATGTTCTTGCTGAGTAAATACAAGAGGTGGAACAATGACCTCCTGCAAGCCTGATCACATCTGTACAGTAGTTTGTTGCTGCTGTCAGATCAGAGCTGGTTTTGATCTGTAGATGGAGTAAACAACACGAAGCTGCACCAGATTCTTTGTTTTTGAGACTGTAGCAAACAATGAACACATCTTCTGGAAGCCTGCAGCATGTAGCTGGGTTCTTTATTCTGGTTTAGATATGACTGGTCCCATTGTGCCGTCTTTATGAAAGATTTCTGTGCGATTCCCAACAGGGGCAGACAGACTAAACTCGATCCCCGACACTGGTCCAAACCCAGCTGTCCTTTGTGCAACTAAAGCTTTCTGACAGGTGAATGCTAAAATGGCTGGACTTGCACCATATCACCCTCAATATTTTTACTATTACTGTGCCTTTAACAATATAAAATCAAGAGACCAATGGTTAGCTGGTTAGTTCCTCACAGCAAGAAGGTTCCAGGTTCGAGCCCCGGCCGAACCAGGGCCTTTCAGTGCGGAGTTGGCATGTTCGCCCTGTGCCTGCATGGATTCTCTCCGGGTACTCCGGCTTCCTCCCACAGTCCAAAGACATGCAGCTTAGGTTGATTGGTGACTCTAAACTGCCCATAGGAGTGAGTGTGATTGTTTGTCTACATGTCAGCCCTGTGACAGACCGGCGACCTGTCTGGGGTGGACCCTGCCTCTCGCCCCACGTCAGCTGGGATTGGCTCCAGCGCCCACGCGACCCTTGTTAGGATAAGATATAGATAATGGATGGATGGACATGGACATCACTTGTCTACACTGTGGCATCCGCAGCACTTTCTAGCTTTCTCAGTATTGCTCTAGCAGCCCTGTTTATTCCACCATACACTGGTGGTGTGTGATTTTATTTGTGTATTTCTCCAGCAAGCAGGCCTTATCAATATTAATGCATTATGCACAGAGGACATTATGAAGAGCCTCACATTTAATAACATGTTGTGAAAATCCAGTTGTGTATATCCAGACAAAGACAGAGCCACCAGAACCTGATAGGTAGAGACATCCGGCAGTATTTGTATTCCAGCTGCCCACCAACATGAACTGAAAGCATGACACATGTTGCATTAGGTTCACATTGCTGCACATTGAAATAAACTCAAAATAAACTGCAGTGCCCATGTTCATCATAATGACAGAGCACATCGCCCGGTGCAGTGGTGTGACTCACTGATGCGCTTTTAATAATTTTTGGAAACAGCACAGAGGAATAATATATATCAGGACAGCGACTATTACTTTATGGCACCTCATGCACATAATCCTAACCACAGGCATTAGCAGCAGGTCAGGTGACAGTCGCCTCCTGTATGTGGAAGATGGTGGAGGAAGCTTCCAGCTCGCCAGTCAGGTGGGCCTGTGACAGTATGTCTAGTACAAAGTCGTAATAGTGCCCCTTCAGGTCATCTCAGTGGGCTTGAGCAGGAATAGGACTGGGTTAAGGGCCGGCCTCCTCCATGAGTGATGGACATAACAAGAGGTAACCCTTTAAGATGAGAATAGAGGAGGAGGTGCAGAGTCATGGAGTGTTTCCTAATTAGCTCATTAGAGACCGTCTGGTTGCAATCACTTCCATTTGAGGAGTTTACCATCTTAAATTAGGTTTAAAATTCTGTGGTTATGTTCGTGATGCCAGGTCTGTAGACAACTGTGAGATCTATGCACCAGCATTTTGCACGTTGCAGACATCATCACCCTGGAATTCACTATCTACAGGTATTACTGTGTACAAA